GTTAGCACCCGATGCCTGGTGCTGTGCCAGGATCCATGGCGACACACTGTGGATGTCTCCGTGGGATTGTGCTCCACTGTCTAGAGATGAAGCATGAACTGCTGCTGCTGCAGCACTCACCCTGAAAAAGCCTGCTTACATTTGCAAGTCTTTTGTAGAGAAAATACGGAAAAAGGCAACAGAAATGATTGAAGAAATAGAATAGTTTCCAAATGACTAACTAGACTGGGACTGTCAGCCCCGAGGAGAGATGACTTGGGTGGGGACAAGCTTGTCTTCCAGAAAATCCCGAGTGACATTAGGAAAGTGGCTACTACCTCACCCAATATGAGGAAATCAAATTAAATCAGCAAAGGAGTTATTTCTCCTCATGGTGTGTTGTTAAACTGTAAAATACATTGCCTTAAGGTGTCGTGGGTGTTGAAAGTTTACGTGCTCAAAAAATAACTAGATAAAATCACGCTGGGAGAGACTGGGCCGTCAGGGACTGCTGTAGGCAGTCGGCATTTTTATAATGAAAAAATGAAGCAAGGCTGTCCTGGAGAAATAACCTTTTTATTAAATCATCTGAGAATGAATGTATGAGTAATTTAATAAAATATTCTAAAGGAAGAAAACCCAGAAGTTTCAGGTGCATAAGCTTCTCTCCAGGTATTCCAATTTAATGAGAAATGCGCTTTTTTAGTAAGATCTCCTGTTCTAACCTCTCCAGCATACCTGTTTCCCTTACACTTCAGAAAGGAAGCATTAGCAAGGGGGAAGGTTGGAGCTGGAACCGCTGCCTCACAGTAGGTGTGGTGGGGGAGTGGAAAGGTAAGCTTAGTGTATAGCCAGAAGGCACACTTGTACATCTGAATTTCAGGCTTCCCAGATAACCTCCTTGTAACTATGTGATTTGAAATCTTTTAAACCATGAAGCCTAGACATGTAGACAGTGGAAAGGTGTGATTTTGTTTTTCTGTTTTTGTTGGTTTTTTTTTCTGTGTGTATCTATGTTGGAACAGATGTTTGTCAGCTAGGCAAAACCCACAAAATAATAAACAGTGCAGCCAAGTGTAACTGTGATGATGACAAAAATAAACACTATCCCTGAGGGCCTGCAACATGTGTGTTGTGAAACAAGCTCTTCGCATCGTGAATATTTCTCACTTCTGCTGGTGACGTTAGAAATTCCTGATTTGAACTTATTTTAGCACGTGGGCTATGGTCTGACTAGGACTGAGTCGTGCAGTCTGTTCATTAAATGCTGAACTATTGTTTTATAATAAATTCATGGCTTGTGGAGACTGCGGTGGAATTTTAAAGCTTCTCTCCGGAAACTTTAGGGATGCGATTTATTTTTTCTTCTAAAACTTTCCCCACTGAAAAGTACTCCATTGTAAATTGTACTCAATTGAAAATTGTAGACTCCAGTGCTCTTTAAAGTTGTATCCTGAATTGTGGTACTAGAAAGTGCATAATATTTAAGAAGTCAGACAGCTGAACTTTTCCATTGTCTGTTTTAAAATGAAGAGTTTGAGGTTTTCCTCCTTCAGTTAATTACTGCCCAGAACCTTTCAATTGCTCATTTCATGGGGACATTCTATATTTACATGGTATTGCCATGGCTTTTCTTTGGGGTTTTAACCATATACTGGAACAGCAAAGTTCAATACTAACTACAGATTACTTTGCCAAAGTGAAATACACCCCTGTTTATTCCAACCCCCTAATTTTGCAGCTCTTGGCTTGGTTTAACTCATGTAAGTCAACTCAGCAGCTTAAATCTCAGATTTTTTTAGGCCTTTGGGTTTTTTTTTAAGGAGACAGCATTAATAGAGTGTTTTTTTTAAACAACCAAAGGGACAGAGTTTATAGATGCGTGAAAAATAAGTAATGAATGATAGATAAACTTGCATCACGGTGGGAGAGAAGGGGCTGGATGAGGAAGGATAGCAGATCCTTGGCATCATCCTCTGGTTATTGGGTTGCAGGGGATGTTGTATTTGTGTGGCAGTGGAAATCTTCCAGAGACCATTATTGGAGGTGAATGAGCAAATCTTGACTGTGGCAGCTGGTAGAGAGCAAGGACTGAAGTGTCCTTTTCCCAGAGCTTTCTGCCCTCCAGCCATGCTATGCCAAAGCGGGTATTTTTGTGCTGTGGATATTGCAAGGATTTTTTTTAACAGTACATTGTTGTCAGCAGTTATAGTGACCTTGGTGGTGGAGCCAATGCGCTCCTCCTTCCATCACCAGAATTTCCACTGCTTGGTAGCCCATGGAAGCTACAGCCAGTAGCTAAGTATGTTTTTAGTTTTTTTTGAGAAAGATAAGTCTTGATATTTTCCTGAAACTAGTAATATTACAACCCATGGGAAGTTAACACTCTCCTGTGAAAACACTTCACCTTTTGAAACCGGAAGAAAAACATTCAGATATTTAAAACAACAGTTCTTCTTTTCTCTTTGCCTGGTTGTAAATATTTCCCAGCATAAGGTTTGTGGAAGCCAGTATGAAATAAAGCTTTCTGGTTTAACTGCCCTGGGAGGCGAGCGGTCAGTACTTTCAACTGCTTAGAGAGGGGTTATGGAGAGAAAACCCACAGAAGGAGCCGAAGGGTTGTGCTAGCTTGGATGTGTACCTGCATAGAAATAGAGAATTGTCAGTAGTTTGTGGCCAATTTAAATGGCTTTTTAAAGCTTTTGTAATCTGAGTTGCCCTCACAAACAATCAAAAAAAACTTTTTACTCCAGCTATATGTAAGAGCAACTGGAGCTTTGGATTTGGCGTCCCAAAGGAGGGATGGTTTGTAATACGAATTCCCAGCATCACTACGTTTAGAGTCTGGTTACTAGTAGTTCAGACTCCAATTGAACCTACACTGTGTTTTGTAACCGTGGTTCTCTGGTTTAGTTTTTATTAATTCAACTAGCTGTAAAATCTTTAATCCCAGCATTGCTACGTTTGGAGTCTGGTTACTAGTAGTTTAGAACTCTACATTGAACCTACACTGTGTTTTGTAACCGTGGTTCTCTGGTTTAGTTTTTATTAATTCAACTAGCTGTAAAATCTTTAAAAACTGAATTTGAAAGTTCTTTTTCTGCTCGTTTCAAACATGTTACCTGGGTAGTGTTTTATCTCTGTTGTTCTCTGGTTTAGTTTTCATTAATTCAACCAGCTGTAAAATCTTTAAAATCTGAAATAATTTGTAAGTTCTTTTTCTGCTCTTTTCAAACACATTACCTGGGTAGTGTTTTATCTCTGTTCTGGCCTGTCAGTGTTTTGGTGAGTTCTACTCTTGGCTATGGACTGTTCGTTTAAGGCGTTATGAGTTACTTGGCTGTTTTGTGATGGCAGCGGTTTTGTCCTGAACAGCTAGAATTTTCCATTCTAAGTTTCTTGGTCACTAGGGTTTACATCTTGGCTGAAAAGAAATGTGGGTTTAGTCGAAACCCACAATATTGGAAGGATATAGACCAGTTGGAGCGAGTCCAGAGGAGGCCACGAAGATGCTCAGAGGGCTGGAGCACCTCTGCTATGGGGACAGGCTGAGAGAGTAGGGCTTGTTCAGCCTGGAGAAGAGAAGGCTCCGGGGAGACCTTATAGCACCTTCCAGTACCTGAAGGGGCTACAAGGAAGCTGGGGGGGACTTTTTACAAGGGCCTGTAGTGACAGGACAAGGGGTAACGGGTTTAAATTGAAAGTGGGGAGGTTCTATGAAATAGAGGATTCTATGAAAGCTGGTCTGTAAACTGATTTCAGGAGGATATTTGTAGTACCTTTTCAGGAGGATATTTGTAATACCTTTAACTTTCTCTTTCAGTCCATTAATATACAGGGTTTGTACTGTGTAGTACAACTTTGGTGACACCCATCACTGCAGAGCAGTGTCAGATTTCACCCACCCCCCTTAGGATGTTGTTTGTTTTTAGTATTTACTTTCAAAACAGTGTATTTTTCCATCTAAAAATATCTCAATTCTTCATTGTATTCCTCAAATCTTTCTTAAAGCTGAAGTTTCAGGTAGATTGATTTTGGTCTGCTTGGGTTTAGAATCATAGAATCACAGAATGGTTGGGGTTGGAAGGGACCTTAAAGACCATCTAGTTCCAACCCCCTGCCATGGGCAGGGACACCTTCCACTAGACCAGGTTGCTCAAAGCCTCATCCAGCCTGGCCTTGAACACTTCCAGGGATGGGGCATCCATCCACAGCTTCTCTGGAAAACCTGTTCCAGTGCCTCACCACCCTCTCTGTGAAGAACTTCTTCCTGATATCTATTCTAAATCTCCCCACTTTCAATTTAAACCTGTTACCCCTTGTCCTGTCACTACAGGCCCATATTGGAACCTTTCCCATCACTTCCCATGGCATATAAATGCTTTCTCTGAAAGTCCACCTAAATTAAGTTGGCAGAACATGTTTTATGCAGATTTATGGCTTTGTAAACTCCAGAGTGTTAAAGAATAAAAGAAAGTTAAAAGGTGCCATACAGTTTCTGTAGAACACAAGATCTAAAGCAGCAGAGTATGGAGAAATGGATGAGCTTTCTTCAGTGATGAGGACAATGCTGAATACATTCTCTGCTCTGGGAGACTGTCCTTGTCCTGGAGCTCTTTTGAAAAAGCTTTGAAAAAAACTTGAATAAATTCAGGTAACCAGAATTTCCCAGAATATTGTGAATCACCCAGGTCATAGCAGGCCTAATTTAGTGCATGTGGGATAATTGTCATTTCTATAATATTTCCCAGATTACGCTGACTG